CTAAACCCTAAACCCTAAACCCTAAACCCTAAACCCTAAAACCCTAAACCCTAAACCCTAAACCCCTAAACCCCAAACCCTAAAGCCTAAACCCTAAAGCCTAAACCCTTAAACCCTAAACCCTAAACCCTATCCCTAAACCCCTAAAACCCTAAACCCCTAAAACCCTAAAACCCTCAACCCTATACCCTCAACCCTCAATCCTCAACCCTAAACCCTAAACCCTAAACCCTACACTCCTAAAACCCTAAACCCTAAACCCTAAACCCTAAACCCTAAACCTTCAACCCTCAACCCTCAACCCTAAACCCTCAACTCTAAACCCTCAACCTTAAACCCTAAACCCTAAACCCTAAACCCTAAACCCTAAAACCCTAAACCCTAAAACCATAAAACCCTAAACCCTAAACCTTAAACCCTGAACCCTAAACCCTGAACCCTAAACGCTAAACGCTAAACGCTAAGAGAGATGAACGAGAGACAAAGAAAGAAAGAGACAGAGGCAGACAGATAAAGAAAAGTAATCAGTGAGAGAAAGGAAGAGGAGAGAGAGAGAGAAAAAAAATGGTAGATAGTGAAAGACAAAAAAAGAAATAGAGGGAAGAGAGATGAACGAGAGAGATAGAGAGAGAGATAGAGAGAAGAGCGATGAGCGGGAGAGACATAGTGCCTGTTTGGTGCAGCTTAAAAGCTGCTTATTTCAACTTTCAGCTTAATTTAAGCTATTTTGATGTGTTTGGTTTAGCTTATAACTTAAAAGCTCGCTCATATCTTGTTTCTCTATCTTTTTCCTGTCTCTCTCTCTATTTCTCCCTCATTCTCTCACTCTTACTCTTACTCTCTCTCACTCATCACTCTTTTCTCTTTCTTTTTCTCTCTATCTGCTTGTCTATTTGTCTCCCTCTCATTGTGTTCACCTTACTCACTCTCCCTTCTTTTCTTCTCTATTTACCGAGCTATTTTTCGATTTATCGAGACACTACAAGAAAATGCACTTTTAGTGATCACTTTGTCTTTCTATCGCTTATCACTCTATCTCTGTCTCTATCTCTCTTTTGTATCTGTCTCTCATTCATTTCTCTCTTACCATCTATCTCCTCTTCCACCTTCACCACTATTACAAATGCCATCCCACTACCATAACTATTATCACTGTTGCCACTCCACCTCTACGACAATCATTACTACCACCATCACCACCACTCCACTACCACCATTACTACTACCATTTCCTCTCCTCTACCACCGCTATTCTATCTCCTCTACCACTACCACAACTTCACCACTAATCTCTTTTGCTATCACCATCACCACCGCTATCATCTCTTATCCACCACCTTCACCACTACTGCCGCTCCCTATCATCTACCACAAAAAATTAGTTCTTAATTTTTAGTAACAAAAAAAAAAATAGGTCACAAAAAAAATATTTTTTATTGATCACAAAAAATTAACTTTATTTTAATAGAAAATATTTTTTGTTAAAATATTACCTCTATTGCTACCAATTAAAAAATAATTGTACGGGGAGCAGATATTCCAGCAAGCCCGTACTCCTTTCTTCTGAGCTCCGTTTATGTCTGATCACCTGCGAGCAAATAACGGTGAGCTACCCGGCGGTGTGTGGCCGGAAAAACCCTCCGACGATCAAGTTAGCACACACCTTGAGATAGAGAGAGAGAGAGAGATCGAAGTGTTTGAGTGTAAGAAATTCCTTACAAAGTGTTCATCTCTCGTATGGGGGGTGCAGACCTGCTTATAAACCCTCTGTACCCCGTATCTACTCTCAGTCGTCTCCTTATACGTGGCTCCGCTATCCCATCTGTCAGCATAAACCTTGCTAAACATCACCTAATCTCAACTACCTGACTTCACAGCTGGAGCTCAGCAGCCGAGCTGCTCCACCATGGCCTTGCTATGCCTCATACCCAAGCACCTAACTGGATAAACACAAGGAGGACCGGGCTAGGCGGCATCTCGGCAGAGCCTAGCCCGGGCACCTCCTTTGGTCGGCCTTCCTGCCGATCAAATGGTCTCCTCGGTTGACCACGCATTTCCGGGCGCCAGTCACTCAGCTTGTCTGGCTTCAGCCATCTCCTGATCGGGCAGCTCGGTCCAACCGAGCACTACCTTGCCGAGCTTCTTTTCGGTCCGGGGCGGCTCAAACTTGGCCCAAGTTCTGCCCGGCCCAAGTTCTGGCAGCCCACTTCTCGGTGGATGGTCAATCATCTCGGCCCCATGCACCGTTGGGCTCTCAATCTGCTCGGCCGTTACCTCGGCCCAACTCCAAATCATAAATCACCCTCTCAATTGCCCCTTAATTCCGTCCGCGAAAGCGTGACTGGGATTACTCACTGCGACCGAGATAGCATTTCTCCGGCCTCCAAATTGCCAAAGGGCGACCGGGCTAGTTAACATAACTGTCTACAAACCTGCCCCGTTTTTTTGTTGTTGATAAATATGCGAACTTTATTAGAAAAGTATCAAGATGATGCAAATAATACAAAAATTAGGCCCCTAAAGAAAAACTAAGATAACTAATCCTCCACAAAATCTACAAAAGCCAAAACATTTGGATCAATCAACCTTGTAACCCAATTATATAACACCATAAGCAACCGTCTCTCCAACCAAGGAACTGAATGAGACACTCATTGGAAAACCCGCCTATTGTGCTCTAACCAAAGAAGCCACATTAAACAGTGAGAAGCTATCATCCATGCTTTTTGATGCCTCCGCCCAACCCTACCTTTAGCCCAACTTTATAAAACTGCCGACACAGTGCCTGGTTGTACCCATTCCAAGCCAAAAGTTGCAACAAGAAGCATTCATAGCCCACAAGCAACTGGGTAATGAATAAGCAAATGATCCACCGGCTTGGCATCGCCATCGCCACAACACAAACAACACCAATTTGCTATAATATGCCCACGCCACCTTAAATTATCAATGGTCAGAATATGGCCTAAAGTTGCCATTCAGACAAAGAAAGTTACCTTGGAAGGCGTGCCTGAGACCCACACACATTTCCAAGAGAAGAGATCTGTATCGACATGAACAAGCGCACCATAGAATGAAGACACAGAAAATAGCCCTTTGGAACCCGGGCAAGTCTAAACCATCGAATCCTCCCCTACATTCCCACCTCGCAACCCATATAAGAAACCCAACAGCTCCACTAACTGATCCACCTCCCAATCTTGAATAGAATGGCGTAACTGTACGTTCAAAACAATCTCTTGTCCCTGGCCAATCCGAACATCCCCCACCATGACCTCATAGTCTTCTACAATCCCAAAAATCAATGGGAACATCTAGTCTGAAGGAATGTCACCACACCATTTGTTATGCTAAAAGTACACTCTATCCCCTACCCCTACCTTCAATCGAACCCGCCGCCAAAACTCCTCCCAACCCAACCAAATACCTTTCCAAACACCCCGACTATGAATCAGCCCCACCCTTCCCGAACACCACCCCCCTTCTACCCAATCCGTACTTCGTCACAACCACCTTCCTCCATAAATACTCCCTCTCCCTTAAAACGCCACAACCACTTACCCAACAAAGACCAACCGCCTAATCCCCAAACCCCCTATCTCCGTTGGAACACACACCCGATCCCAAGCCACCAAATGGGAACGAGAAACCACCCCCTCATCACCCCATAAAAGTCTCACTGCAGCTTCTCAATCCTCTTTGCCACTATGACTGGAATCATGTGAACAGACATAAAATAAGTCGGAATACTCGACAAGACACCCTTGATCAAGGTAAGCCTCCCTCCTTTTGACAAGTATAGTCGCTTCTAGCCAGGTAACCTTCGTTGCACCCTTTCTACCACTCCATCCCATACCCCTCGAGCCTTGAAAGAAGCTCCCAATGGAAGACCAAGATACGCACCAGCAACGAAACCATTTTACACTCCAAAATTGTTGCCAAAACCGGCAACCGTGCCACCTCCCCAATCGAGATCAATTCAAACTTTGAAAGATTAACCCGCAATCCTAACGCAGCCTCAAAACACATCAACACACACCGAAGATGTCCAATCTGGTCTACATCCACATCACAAAATATAAGTGCGTCATCTGCGTAGAAAAGATGTGAAACCAGCAATGACGCAGGGCTCGAGCCCACCTCAAAGCCCTCCAACAAGCCTCCATGAACCGCCTTGGACAACAAATGTCCCAAAGCCTCCATAACCAGAATGAACAATAGCGGGGATAAAGGATCTCCTTGCCGTAAACCTTGATAAGTAGAAAAGAATCTTGCTGGAGAACCATTGACCAAAACTGACATCCGCACAGTCGAAATACAATAATGAATCCACCGTCTCCAAGTTCTTAGGTTTTTTTTTTTGACGTGCATGATTCTTGGAAATTTTATTAATTAGATGACCAGACTTTTTAGAGAGAAAAGAATTAATTCTTTTCTTGAATTCTCACCTAGTGAACAAGCCCTTATTTTCAAGTTAATCTTGAAAACTGAACATTGCAAATAATTTCTTTAGTTCCTAAATTGCTCTGATTATTATTATGAAAAGCCAGCATGCATCAATATCTGATTTTTGAAATCATTCTTGTATTTTGTAATGATTTATCTTGAGATTATTTAGTCTTTTCTTTTCTTCTTCCTCTATTCCTCTTGCAAAAGAACCTTTTTTGAGTAAGGTGATTGAAGAGTGAGTATTGAAGGATTTGGATTTCTAAGCTATTACAGTGAGTGTAACTTAAGTATTTGTATCCTCAAAATGCCTCGTCACATGTGTCTGAACTCCACAATAAGCAAACCAAACACGTGCATGTATTATAATGGTCAAGTATGCAATGAAAATTGAACACAAGATCTTTGCTTGCTCTTATCCTATGCTTTAACCAAGCATGCTTCAGGTTGCTCTCATTATCCTATTGAATGTGGAAGAAAGTAGTTAGTTAGGAGGGGGGAGGGGGATCGTAAATCAATGCAGTTGCAATCAAAGGGTTTAAATCATAAAGTGGGGGATTGCACTTAGTTATTTGATAGGTTTAATATGTTCTGCATGGCATCGCTTATTCCTCTTTTTGAAGCAACATGGCCTTATATGGGTGGTGTTAAAAGCGAGCAAGTTTTTAATCTTTGGGGAAGAGTTAAAACAACTCAGAATCCTGTTAGGAGTTTTGTTAGTCTTGTGTGCAGTCTAGCCCTTTGGGTTGTAATAGCATGCTATCTTTACATGCATAAAAGGATCAACAGAATGCAAATCAGCTCACATGGCCCCTTCAATAGATTTTCAAATCCATGGACCCATTTAGCTGATAAATAACATTATACTAATTAGCTCATGTTTATTATTCCAATATTTAGTTTATTCAAAATTTATCAAACATTGCATGTAAAGAACGTCTAAGTCTTGACATGTATGTAAATAGAGATTTTTTTTAACCACATGGTTACAATTAATCAAACAAGCTGATTTCATTTTTTCCGGTAACCTTATAATGTGTATTGAAGACATACCCTTTAGCAATGCAATGAGCCACCACCACAAGGAGGCGATCTGGCTACAATTGTAGATATTTCAAGGGAAGTAGAAAGAAAATTTTCACCTTAAAGAAAGCATCTCAAACGAGGCTTTTAATGAACATATAAGGGGGCCTGATTTATGCATTTAATAGTTGGTTTGAGGGTATTTTCTATATATAAATATGTATTTATCAACATAAAAGTTTGGTTAGACCCATGGCAGATCACTTGAAATGTCCCTGAAGGTTGATATTTTCACAGGAATCTCTTATGAAACTGGGTTGTGTCATGAATAGGGTCCAATAAAATGTTTATCTGTCCCCTTCTCTTCGGAAGAAAAAGAATTGTATGATGCAATAAAGGGACATAGGTTCACAATTAAAATATTCTTTGGAAATATAACTTACTAAGCTGCAAAGACAAACGTAACTGTGCATTTTCTAGTTCACTTTACTTACTAAGATGTCATTGCTTCTTTAGGGGCTACTACAGGTTTTGTTATGCAGAGTAGGATTTCTTAAAGTACTTCTTTTACCAGCTCTTACTAATGGAGATGAGAAAGTGATTGGTGGTCTTGCATGTTTGATGTCAGAAATTGGTCAGGCAGTAAGTATTTAAATTCTAGTTTGAGTATGAGCTTTCACTGTATTTATCCCTTTTGAGTTAGAATAAATATGTTTTTGAACTAAAAGGACAACCCAATGCAGAAGGCTCCCACTATTGTAGGGCTTGGGTACCTACCATTGTAGGGCTTGGGAACGGTCACAATAAATATGTTTTCGAACTCTCTAAAATTAAAAGTAGATGTTCCTGCACAAATCCCAACGATCACGTGTTCAGATTCTACATATTGATCATTGTGACTAGAAAGAAATTTTTTTGATGGAATATTCAAAGAAAATTTTGGATGGAATATTCAAGTTATGTACAATATATGTGTAGGTACATGGGTTCTACGACTTGCCACATCAGCACCACTAAAGGGATGGAGTCCACAACTATACTCACTCTGCTTGACTCAAGACTCATACCCTGATGCTACACAGTTTGCCTAGGTCGAGAGTAGGGCCTAGGGACACCCCAAGGTCGGTGCCTTGATTATGCGATGCTTGGGCGACCTATCACCCCACGTGGGATCACCAGGGACTTGTCTATTTATTGCTAGAGTTAGGGGATCGTCAAAGTTGCCCAATTCCCCACCCAGGTGATTTCATTTTGATTAGTCTTAGACATGAGAGAGAAGTTTCTTTGACCAAGTCATGGATGACATGAGAGAGAAGTTTCTTTCACCAGAGAAGTTTCATTTGATTTCATTTCATTTTGTTCAGATTTCATCTTGCCTTTATGGTCCAACTCTTCTATAAAAAGTCTTCACCTCCATATAAGACACACCTCAAGGAAAGCTTTCTATACACTAGCATAGTTATCAGAATCTCGATCCGGATGGTAGGATGTTATGATTGAACGACCCCAATTGAACCAAATGATCTTGATTGCACTAACATCTTACATTTTGTAGGATATTAAAGTGATTACGATCTTAGTCTTAAAATTGCATAGAATCGCACTACAATCCTGATTTTACTACGATCCCGATCCTACCAAATTTTTTTCTTATTATTTATTTCTTATATATGTATGTATGTATAAATTTTTTGCATATAAACTCCTCCAAATGTCCAAGTCTTAACCATTGAACCAATGGTCACCCACTTTGTGCATTATGCCAAAAGTTAGGTATGTACTCAATCTTTTCCCTCCTAAACACACATTAATGTGTACTAATTGGGTATTGTTTTTTTTTTTACAAGATGCATTATATCAATTTGATCATTTTGCTTTAATGATTTTAAAATGATTTAACATACATTATCATTATCAATAAATTTTCACTTTATCTTGCATTGAAAATAGAATCTTACGGTTGAATTTTGTAATAAGGCAATAAGGTTGAATATTGAGAAATAATAGAGACATAAAAGAGAAAAGAAAGAACACAAAGGTTTAACGTGGTTTAGCCAATATTGGCCTACATCCATACACACAAAGCCCTAAGGGGCTACATTTTTCATTCACTCAACTTGATACTCTTGTTTACATGATACACCATATATATAAAGTGAGAGATACAACCAAATCGCTTCAGTTAAGGAATTAAAATAAATCAAAGATGCAAAAGAATCATAATATGCACAAATCATGAGATCTCTATATATTCTGATATCTTCCATATCTTCTAATATCTTTGATAATATAATCTTATTTCCAACACTTACAATCCTTGATCTGATTCTACAATCTGGTCCACAAGTCTCTCCTAACGATCCCACATAGGATCCCAATTTTAACAACCTTGCACACTACAGAGCAGCTTCCATCTCCCTGGCATGTCCAAAGGCTCATCCTCCACTGCCACATTCTCTCTCTCTCTCTCTTTCCAAGGCTGCCTCAGCTGTCACCCTTTCCACCTTTGGGGGGTCTTGTGCCATCTTTGTGCCTACCATGATTCCTAGGGGGCCTACAATAGGCTCACATCACTTGTGACCATCTGCAATTTGCACTCTCATTTGTTACATACAAATATATAGGAACATAGAAAAGAAGGATGTCCATGACGTGTACATGTCGGTTGAACTAAATTTCATTGAAATTTATTTTTCCACTTAGATGGTGCTAGTACATGTTGTGCAGACTGCAGTACCCCCTTTGAATACTCCACTTCCATGAAAATTTCTTATTGTTGATTGAGTACCAGGTCTCCAATTGATTGACCAGCAATAATACATATAGCTTCTCCCAATTCAACCAGGTCCCTCAAAAACTGTGCATCTTACATCTTATATGTTTTTTTGATATTTCTGTCTTGGGAAAACTTATTGTGTCATTGGTGATGATAAAACTTTTAGGACTTGGGAGAGGTTGAAATCAGTCTGACTCTTATTTCCATTCGCTTTTCGTTAGGCACCATCTCTGATTGTAGAAGCAAGTCCTGAAGCACTTGCATTGGCAGATGCACTTCTGAGGTCAGATTCAGTTTTAACTTTTTTTACTGTACTTGAAGGGACATTGTGGGATATGTATGTGAGAAATGGTTACTCAGCATGCTTGACTATATGTGCCTAATGGTTCGTCTATTGTGCTTTAGCACTCTTCTTGAGTTGAAGTGTATATGAGGTATTACATGGAGTGATGGACATTAAGTTCTTTGAAAATCAAATTTTAGACAATGCATGTAAATTGTATACATCAACTCAAGTAATGGATAAAGACCGAAGGATGCTAAAGGGAGCACACATGAGCATGCTGTGATAAGTTAACTCATACTTTTGCATTTATGTCTCTTTTTTAGCATTTGAAGTCTAACAAGATTATAAGCTCCTCTTTTCAGTGAGTTTTGTATCAGATGTTTGTACTAATCTCCATCTGACATGTCAACTATGCTGGCAGTTGCGTAGCATATCCAAGTGAGGAATGGGAAATAGCAGACTCAACTTTGCAGTTCTGGTACCGCTTTCCATGCTCTATTCTTGTTATCTATTTTCTTTGCCGCTTGATTGTCTTTTTGGTTGTTCCTTGAAATATAAAGATTAGTAGCACTAGAATTTTTTGGCATTAAGTGAATCATATTTGAGTTGCTTCTGGCAAATGAATTGGTATTCACGTTTCTCGATCACATGGATGGTTTTGGGAACTAAAAGGCTTACAAGTAACCACCCTAAAGGGCAGGCATGTGAGCACGGCATGCTTGTGTGCATTCATGGCATATTTTACTCAACTTTTTCATATGATTAGTGCGAGTTTTATACATCAGAATACTATTTACAGAAATCCTTTTTGCATTGCTGTAGCGATAATTATGGTTTCAATGTCCCATTGAAGATGGTTTCAATGGTGCCATTGAAGATGATCAATCTTGCTTTGCATGATTTCAATGCTTCATGTGGTTTCTATGTGGTATTTGTGATTATAAACTTTCTTAGTTGTGTTCCAAATTCAAATCATTATAACTGTAAGCTTGTTTTGTCTTCTTTCTTTCCCAGGTGTTGTCTTGCAACTATATTCTTGGCCTCGATGTGAACAGTGGCAAAAACAAGAAAATTGCTGAAGATATGTTTTTTTCTGTATTCTCAGCATTACTTGATGCCCTTCTATTGCGTGCTCAGGTATTTCATTATTCTTCCACTTGGTTTTCGGTATGAACACGTAGTCCATCTCCTTTCTGAGTAAACATCTGTTTCATTCTGCTGGGTTATTCTGGGCAAGATTGTACATTCTTGAAGCTGGAGGTCAATGTTCATAGTTTATCTAACTGTTCTACATGCTGTCATAATTGAATCGAGTAATTCAGCTTATTAATTTGATTAGAGAATTATTCAATAATTTTGTACATTAACCTTAACCAGGGGCAAGGTCTCTGGTTGTGAAACATTTGAATATTAAAAGATGGGATGGAAAGAATGGTTAAAACCTAGAGTTTTGGCTGGAGTAGTGTTCATCCTCCGAAGAGTCTTCTTCTTCTTCTTCTTCTTCTTCTTCATCATCCAATCATCTCAATGAGTTCAGACTCTCTCTCTCCATCCGGGTCTTGGTCTCTCTACATCTGCGTGTTTAGACACCTTTTTTTTTCCTTTTACTTTTCCTTTCAAATTTGAGCTAACCGCAGCATGTCTCATGCATGGAACTACAACCGACTCATGTGAGTCCTCTTTTGACATTTTGCTCACTGAAAACCATGCCCTACTTTAGGTCTTCCCAATTAAGATTTAAGCTAAGCATTTATACGGTCACAATGAGTCACGTATGGCCAAAATTCTTTTCATGAGTGGATCAAGCACAAGCATTTATTATAATTATCAAGCTGTGAATATTCAGCTTCCTGACCCACTCTGATACCATGCAAACGACCAACTGTTTGAAAAGCTTAGCTGATAGAGAGGCTTATCAATATAATTGATTGGTAGTTCTTTCTTTCCCAAAACCATCTCATTATCTTTCTAGGGACCTCACTATAAGGTTCTTATGGGTCAATATATGTTAGATGGTGCTCTTCTTTTGTTTTTGTTTTGGTTTCATTTTTTGTAAGGTTTCTATGGGTTAAAATATGGCAGATGGAATTCAGGTCCTCTCCATTACATCGTTGTAATAGTTAAAATAATAAAAGAAAGAAAATGAGAAGAACTGGAGAAGAAAATAAAATGCGGTTCTTGAGAGAGAAACCCAAAACTAGTTAGGTTCACTCCCATAAACCCATGTATTTATATTAAAATCATCTGAAGTATACAATTACCCTTTAGACTATAAAACAATAACACCTAACAGTAATGGAGAATCTTCATTACATCATCGAATGGTTGTTAAAAACCACAACAATTGTTGTAATGAATTTTTACAACCATTGGATGATGTAATGTGTGAGAATATTATGTTACTTACGTAAATATATTAGAGAGGAAATATTGATTGATGTGACCCAAAAAAGATAAAAAGATAAAAAGATAAAAAGTGTGGACTTATTTAGTCTTCCCAAACAAGGCCTTATTCTTATTTCCTATTTTAGATTGGGTCTAGGATTGCTATATATATCGATTATACTCCTTGTACATTCTTGAAGCTGGAGGTCAATGTTCATAGTTTATCTAACTGTTCTACATGCTGTCATAATTGAATCGAGTAATTCAGCTTATTAATTTGATTAGAGAATTATTCAATAATTTTGTACATTAACCTTAACCAGGGGCAAGGTCTCTGGTTGTGAAACATTTGAATATTAAAAGATGGGATGGAAAGAATGGTTAAAACCTAGAGTTTTGGCTGGAGTAGTGTTCATCCTCCGAAGAGTCTTCTTCTTCTTCTTCTTCATCATCCAATCATCTCAATGAGTTCAGACTCTCTCTCTCCATCCGGGTCTTGGTCTCTCTACATCTGCGTGTTTAGACACCTTTTTTTTTCCTTTTACTTTTCCTTTCAAATTTGAGCTAACCGCAGCATGTCTCATGCATGGAACTACAACCGACTCATGTGAGTCCTCTTTTGACATTTTGCTCACTGAAAACCATGCCCTACTTTAGGTCTTCCCAATTAAGATTTAAGCTAAGCATTTATACGGTCACAATGAGTCACGTATGGCCAAAATTCTTTTCATGAGTGGATCAAGCACAAGCATTTATTATAATTATCAAGCTGTGAATATTCAGCTTCCTGACCCACTCTGATACCATGCAAACGACCAACTGTTTGAAAAGCTTAGCTGATAGAGAGGCTTATCAATATAATTGATTGGTAGTTCTTTCTTTCCCAAAACCATCTCATTATCTTTCTAGGGACCTCACTATAAGGTTCTTATGGGTCAATATATGTTAGATGGTGCTCTTCTTTTGTTTTTGTTTTGGTTTCATTTTTTGTAAGGTTTCTATGGGTTAAAATATGGCAGATGGAATTCAGGTCCTCACCATTATTGGCAGATGCACTTCTGAGGTCAGATTCAGTTTTAACTTTTTTTCTGATACTAAACTGTACTTGAAGGGACATTGTGGGATATGTATATGAGAAATGGTTACTCAGCATGCTTGACTATATGTGCCTAATGGTTCCTCTATTGTGCTTTAGCACTCTTCTTGAGTTGAAGTGTATATGCGCTACATAGATTTTATAGGAGATTTAATAAGCTTGTTTGATGGAGCATGCTCTTTGTATGTCCACCATTTGACAATGTTCAGTCAATGCTGCAATAGTTATCTCAGATTTCCTCAAACCACATATCAATACAATGAAAAGATTCAGAACATACCTGACAGCTCGAGTTGATAGCATTGTTGTACCATGCATTGCCCTCTTCACGTAACCAAATCGATCAGCCTTAACCAAGTTGCCTTTCTCTTTGTCTATAACAAGGCCTCTGATTACCTAACAATAGAATGGAGCAGCATGCATTCAGAAACAAGTACAAACAATTCAAACTCAACAACTCCACAAAATTCACAAAGCTATAATCTCATCAATTTGCACATAGATAAAGACATCACCAAGTCTGGGTCAAAAGCAAGTCCAGCAACTGGAAAACCCACGTTTTTTAGATTATCCATACAATAGTCATAAGCCCGTCCTTCCCATGCCTGAAAAACAGTAAAGTTGTGCCATGCATGACTTTCCAACTAAAGTAGCAAATCATTTTTGAAGCAGCTCATTAAGTACATCAGTAATAACCATGATACTTTATAAGCATAACAAAAATAAAAAATAAAAAATAAAATTCTTCAAGGTAAGATACTTGAATAGCATCATGCAAGTCCAATGCTAGCATTAAAAATATAACAAATGGAATCCTTAATGTGCATCATACAAATGTATACATATATATATGCATTTAGAAAGTATTTGTGATAAAATCAGTGCATAATATGAAAGAATAGAACCCATATGAACTATAACATTGTGTATTCAGTATCTTTCTCTTATTGTCAGCTCTGCTAAGCCCCTCGGAATCAGTGATTCGTGACATAGTAACATGCTGAGACATCAGATAGCATGCGTCACAATGCAATTTGATTAGCAAAAGCAAGTCTATGAATTGTTAATATATGTGCACGTATGTAAAGAAAATGAGACAAACACATGGCTGTCATGCAACCAATAATTGGAATAGCTAAACCACATTCAGTGTCGAGTTATGGCACCCTTTGGTATATCTCATCGGTTCTTGCTTTCTATGTTAGTTTTTCCAAGGCAAGTACAATTCAGGAGGAGACTAGAGAATCAAAATGGGTTGCTTCCATAAATGAAACAATTGAATCAAGTCAAGAGGAATTTATGGCTACCATGCATTCCCTATGGAATACCCCAACAGCTTTGGTCACATTCCCCCAATAAAGAGACTCATGTTCAAGACTCCTTACCTTACCTATAAAAAAAGGATAATAATGGCTATTTCAGTTAATTCCTATTGAGTAGTGGAACAGATGATTACCATCACATTGTAATGCATCAATGTGTAATCCATGTCATATCCAATGGCACTGATTGACCGAAGATTCAATGTGCGGCTACAAAATATGCCACGGCGAGAATGTCTTGAAGAAAATGGACTCTGCACATCAATACTAATGTCATAAGTAGGCAATGCGAAGACTTGCCATGCAAAAATCAGAATTCAACAGGTCCAAATCAACAATAAATATAACTTCTTTTTTGATAAATAACCTGAGCTGGTTCCAAAAATTGCCAAAAGGAGCGGAACCTCAGCATGCAAATGTATAACGATGAATAGAACTATTTAGGCATTAATAGTAATGGATGATAAAAGCATTCAAGCATTTTGAGGTCTGGTGCAAACTACTCAAGTTTATGCTGAAGAATATTCTGATTACAAGTTCATATCATATGGTAACAAAAATGACGTAAAAATCAAAAGCATCTCTCTCTCTCTTTCTCTCTCTCTCATATTTAAACAAACTCATCAAACATATACACATGAGCAGCAATGAAAATGACAATGAGAAAGAAAGGGGGTGGTACAATGCACCTGAATCCCCAAGTGGTTAAGCAAGTCCTCAGCTTCTTGAGCTTCCACCCTGGCCACCTCCTCAATTGGACCCTCTAAAGTTGATTGAGCATCTATTTCTAAGTTGCCAAAAGAAAAAAAGAAGACTAGGTTAGCCTATCATGTTACTACATTTTACCAGAAATATATGAACAAAAAAGAAAAGAAACATACAGAATGAGCAAGCAAGCAGTGAGCAATTCGTTGACAGAAGCAAGCAAACAAGCGATGCATTGTAAGTCATTTTTAAATGAGCAGAATAATAAAAGCAAAGACAATAGTACAGAGTGCCAAAAACAAGAATGATTGATCAAGTGAGTGAGTGAGCAGGCAAATAATCAATTCCAATCATAAATATTATTTCATCGTAATTGACTGATAATATTAAATTAATTATATCATACAATGCAATACACGTGGAGAGAGGGAGTGGGGAGAGTAGATACCAAAATTGAGATTCAAGTCGCCTTTGGTGCTCTGACCGAGATAATCTGTGTTTGGCAAGTTTTAGCTCTTGACAAATTTTTCTAAGCTAAAACCATGAGGAATGGTCACCTATTTATATAAAAACATGTTCCTCTATCGGAAATATCTGTATTGAGCTAGTTGGCACAAGGCATGTACAAGGGAGGGAACATCTAGCAACAAATATCTACCTCCCAGGAAAGATGGTAGGCCGGCCATGGAAAGGGACGGCCGACCAATAAAAAATGGCCTGCCTACCACTTTTTGAGCACCAGGCTTCTAAGTCGTCATGCAAGAAAAAGAAAAAAAGACTTTGGTCCAAAGGAGGTGCAAGATTTTAGGCTTTGAAACTCAAAACTGAAGCTCTTTGCTGAAAAAATTGAATGGTTTGTACAGCGTACTAATTCATCATTGAGTGTTCACCATGAGGGGCCTAGGTTTTAAGGACGGTCAAAAATGGAGGGTCTACAGTTGTCCCTCTTTGATAGAGCTCGAAGTCATGAAATGACGTGAGTGAATGTCAAAGCCCGAATGTGACCCATTTTGATAGGGTCGTAAGACTTAGGCAAACAAACAAAATGCAAATGTAGTTGGTTGAACCCGAAGGTTACCTACATATCCCTTTGCAAGGAATCAAACTAGCATAGTCTAGGGGCATGATGCAAATGATACACAATCTAATAAAATAATCAAACCACAAGCAGTGCATAACGCACGAATACCATAAAGAAATGGAAATGCAAATCAAACTACATTTAACACACAAAAGGTGTCGACACCCTCAAACCTCAATTGTTATAAAATAGGTGTGTACACATGCAGAACTATGCCTTTTGCAGAAAGAGTACAAGTAATTGGGTGGTATGATATAGGTGAGGAATGATCTGCTAGGTAATGATCTATTAGGAAATAACAATGCCATGGGATGATAATGATTTTGAACGCATTTACGTGAAAAGGGTAAATGCAACAAGATAAAGTATGATGCAATGGATGCGATGGATGAAGTGGATAGAATGGATAGAGGGTGCAGGCTGAACTACGTCTTACTTAGATAAGACATGGACACAGACCAACCACGTCTAACACAAAAAAGGTGTCAAAACCTCAGACCACAATTCTTGCAGAATAGGCACATACACATGTAGAGAGATGAGCACATGCCAAACTAAGCGTAACATGGAAATGATATAGGTAATAAAATGGTATGATGTAATGAGTGTAATGGATGATATAGTAGATGCCTGTGATGGATGCTATATGCAATGCTACAGAGGTACAAGATAATAGATATGATGTAGCAGCTAGGAAGTGGTGCCTTAGAAAGTACTTTACAGGGGCAATCGGCGATGACTCACCTCATGTTGCTAGGGATCTTCATCTTCTTTATCTTGCACTTCCAAACCACAGGTACTACTTTTCTCCCTGGCTATGTTTGCAAGTTTCCCTATTCTCCAATAGGGTGATAGACTATGTTGCTTTAGTATCCAGAATTGAGGCACATACAAGTTACCTCAACCTATGGGGCTGCCATGCAAATTTCAAGCTAAGGATACACCCATAGGTGTTTAAGCCAGACTTTAATCTACAAAATTCCAAAACCTTTGTGTTATAGACCTCGGCTATTTGAACTATAGTTTCCACCGTCCCAGTTGGTCTCTTGGGAACTCACTACAAACACAGTCAAGTGGCTATACCAGATCACTTGAAGTCATTCAGGCACAACAAACACCAAAGGAATTTGCACTTTTAGGGTATTTAAGGTCTCATAGACCCAATGAGTGCAAAAGACAGTGCGGGTAAGGTGCACAAGACAGTGTAATGTAGGTGAAATACACAAAACAGTGCAATGCAGGTGCACAAAACAATGCGATGTGGGTGCACAAAATAGTGCGATGCAATGAATGCACAAAATAGTGCGGTGTAACTGCACAAGACAGTACGGTGTAGGTGGAATGCAAAAAACAGTGCGATGCAAGTGAATGTACAAAGTGGGTCGATGTAAGCTGAATGCACAAAACAATGCGGTGCAAGTTGTACAAGACAATGCGGTACGGGTTGAATGCACAAAACTGTGCAATGCAAGTTAAATGCACAAAACAGTGCGATGCAAGTTGCACAAGACAGTGCAATGCAGGGTGCAGAAGACAGTGCGATATAAGTTGAATGCAATGTAAGTTGAATGCCCAGAACAGTGCTGTGGAAGGTGCACAAAACGGTGCTATGTAGGGCGCACAAAATAGTGCTATGTAGGGTGCACAAAACAGTGCGATATAAGATAAATGCACAAAATAGTGCTATATAGGTGCACAAAATAGTGCGATACATGATGAACACACAAAACAGTACGATGTAAGATGCACAAAACAGTGCTATATATGGTGCACAAAACAGTCCGATATACGTGAATGCACAAAACGATGCGATGTAGGTGCACAAAACGGTGTACGTGGTTGAATACACAAAACAGTGCGATGCAAGGTGCACAAGACAATGTTGCGAGGGGTACAATGCACAAGATAGTGTGATACAGAGTGCACAAGACAGTGCTATGTAGGCACTTGCAGAATGAATGCACAAAACAGTGCGATCCAAGTGCATAAGACAGTGCATCATGTACCTTATAAATGAGTGTATTGCAACTTGCCACAACTTATTGAAATGTAACTGAAAAACACTACGGAAGGTAACTCAATGAAACTCTGCCATTATATGTATAGAACGAAGTCAAAAGCAAGAGCAACCAATCACACAGTTCAAATCAATCAAAGTGTATCAGCATGCATGCATAATCCAAAGCACATGTATTAATTAGAGGGAAGATGGCAATCCCAAGAGAGTTTTGAAATGGTTGGAGATAACTTTCGAAAGCTGACTCATATCAGAATCATCATGGTGGTGAGCCCATCCTAACCTAGGGAGAAGTGCCCAGCAATTGGCTTTGAGCGGACTGAGAGAAAGGTTGGGTTCATTCCCCTTGTTCAATTGATGGTCCGATTAGATGTACTGAAAATTGCCCCCAGTTTCCAGTCACTGGCCACTATTTTCAGCATTGTGTCGGCACGTGTGATGGGGATCATCAAATCCGGGAATGGTTGCCAACTAATTAGACTCATGCTTCTCTTCTTTCCCGACATGTTGAGAACTTACTCCAATCTCCTCCAATATAACGACAGATTCCTCACATATAGGTTGCAATGATTATTAATGTAATGCCCCTTGTATGGGCACTCTTAGTTTGTTTATGGAATTTTGGCAATGCCACTTTGTTGAACTTTTGAGTGACAGACTCGCCAGGGTGACTCGATGAAGTGCGCAAACTGAGACAAGTACTTGGCATGACACAACAGAACTCACAGCTGTCCCAAAAGCAGAAAAAGACTCAACATGGCTGATCATTCATAGCGCCCCTAGTATTACTCATGTTCCCTTTAGAACTCAATTTCGCAAAACCCGAGTTTCGATTCGTTTTTTTTGCTCAAGATAGAGATTTTACTGATAAGTTCAAGTATTGAAAATTTCTCCACTTGCTGATTCAAGCGAGTTCTTACCCAATGCAAGTATGTGATGTGCACAATAGTTGGTATAGCTCATGGATTGATGTGAAGCTGACGAAGTGAATTGGGCAAGATGATCGAGTTGAGATGAATAAGATGGACGGTTGAGGCCGAACTTCAGGATGAAGTTGCCTACGTATCCCAGGAATAGGAATCAAGTGAACGTAGTTCATGGCTGAGGTTCACTTTCGTGTTGGCACTCTCCTTTTGCGCTCTAACGTTTGCCAAAGTCACCCCTACGAGGTTTTCAACCTTGCAAGCTATATTTGTTTGATTTCTCATTTTTCATGCTCTCACTTTTGCCTAGGTCGCCCTTTCTGATTTTCAACCAAGGAAGCCTCTCAAGGATAGCATTACAACTTTTGCAGTGAATTTGATCTATAGTCATCCTTACCCCAACACTAAAGCTAGCTTTAACTTGATTTGAGCTCGGTTCTCCATTCCCTTATGCATGTCTTCTTCCTTTCTTTCGCTCTATTTTCAAAGTTGGTTCGTCTCGCAATGTGGTACTTCCTTGCGTTGGCTTCCCTAGATTCAGACAAAAGTTCCTTTCCTCAACACTGATTGGACTTCATTCCAATGGATATCCCTGGCTGGATGGTTGACTTATTTTTCCTTTTTTTTTTCCCTTTTTCCTTTTCTTTTTCTTTTCTTCTTGGTTTTTTTTTTCAGTTCTTTTTTGAAGCAATGAAAACACTAGGGGGAGAAATTCTATGATTGTGGGGTCTAAAAGCTATCTTACAGAGATGGCAACAGGGTGGGGCGGGGGGGGCATACACTTCCCGTCCCCGATCCCCGAAAGTGACAAATTCCCTGTCCCCGCCCCTGATCCCCAACGGGGACCCATTGCCCGTCCCCGCCCCCGATCGGGGATCGAGTATCCCTGACCTCAAAAAATCCCCGACCCTGAAAAATATTAAACTTTTCGGTAAACTGAGTAAGGACAAAGTGGAAATAAGTGAAAAGGAGCTGAAATCTTTGAAAAATCTTTTAAAATATCTTATTTATAGGTTTGGAGTTGAAGGAATAGGAAGGGAGAGAAGAAAACAAGTTAAGGGAAAGGCTAGGCATCAAACCGTTAAGATATAAATGAGTAGTCTTCACTAAAATAGGTATATCTCTTTGCAAACTTATAATTTAAATATGAGGCCACCACCATTGGAAAGTACACTTCTAGGGATTCAATTTAGACTCAAGAATCAGTTAAGAGCGAGTCCAGATGAGGGAGATATGCCCGTTTGAAGTCAGGCCTAAAAGTAGATTTTTGTGGCCGGCCGGCTGGCCACTTTTTATGGGCAGCCGTACAAGTACTTGGTTGGCCGGCCAAGTGTCCCGAGAGGTAGTTTTTTGCAACCAAGTGTCCCCACTAGTGTCTGGCCGGCCAGAAGAAGTGGACGGTCGGCCCCCTAGTGGCCGGCGGACCAGTTGTGCCTGCAGAACAGATATTTTGCTGCCAGCTGTGCC